TTCTTCGCTTTGACCATAAAATTGTCATGAGCGTCTTTGCCAGTTAGCCTGTGTTATCATGGTATCCCTCTGGTATCAAAACAAGAAAATGGATCTGTCTACCATGACTTGTTCTTAGACAACCTCTCGGGGTTCTGATGATCATTGTTTCACTAAAGAAGAGGGGACTGAGGAGATAGAAGCATGGTAAAGTCAATGGTACTTTCCATTATTTTTTCTGAAAAGGCTTGCAAAGGAAGGGAAGGCATGTTAAATTAGTCTTCTCTTTTGGTAATGTGTCTTTCTTTCTACACACCCATTTTTGCAGTGTTCCTGCAAGGGCTGGTGTGGGAACAAGCAGTGTGGGTGCAGGAGACAAAAGTCGGACTGCGGCACGGACTGCAGCTGTGATCCCACAAAGTGTAGGAACCGTCAGCAAGACAAGGTAGGATCGGCCGTCCCTTCAGACATCCCTCCAGTTCCCACCATCGTGAAACCTGGAGTCTCCTGCCCCTTCTCTGGCCCTCTGCAACCAGAGACATTTCACTTCTCGGTCCTTCTTCCTCGCTGCCAGCCTGTTCACATACCCCTTTCAGAAACCACAGCCTGTCCCAGGAGATTTCCAGATATGCAGCTCCCCACCCCAAGCCTTGGCTGTAAAGTTGTGGTGCTGTTTCTGAGGCAGAAACAGGGAATAGGAAAGCAGGCAACTACAGGCACATAGACATGCAGGACCAAACTAGCCCAGAGGCTTAGCTGAAACTATAAGGGCCACGTGGCAGCTTCCAGGAAGGAAATTAATCCTTCTGACATCTTGAGAAATTAGTTGCTTAGACCCTCTCCATGGGAACCAGTTATTCCATGGCTCTAGGAAAGACCCACAGGAACTTGGTCTTTCAAATAGTCACTGTTGTGGGCCAAGTTAATTGTACCTGTCCTCCTTATATTCCCAGGAATAGCAAACTCAGGGAAACAAAGATTGCCTTACACCTACCTGTGCTCATGGCGAAAGCCTGTTCCTACAGCTCTCTATGTGATGTACAACAACTCCAGCAAGCTTGATATAATGATCGTTCGTTCATCATACATTTCTTGAACATCTGCATGTGAACGGTTCTGCCGGCTCTTCTATTAAAATGACTTCTGGGGCGCCTGGGTGGCGCAGTCGGTTAAGCGTCCGACTTCAGCCAGGTCACGATCTCGCGGTCCGTGAGTTCGAGCCCCGCGTCGGGCTCTGGGCTGATGGCTCAGAGCCTGGAGCCTGTTTCTGATTCTGTGTCTTCCTCTCTCTCTGCCCCTCCCCCGTTCATGCTCTGTCTCTCTCTGTCCCAAAAGTAAATAAACGTTGAAAAAAAAAATTTTAAATGACTTCTAAGGAAGATAGTCATTAGAGGACTAACGTGACAAGCTGGGGTTCAGGCTAAGAATTGTAGAAGTAGCAGGGATCTCTGTTCCCATGGCTTTTTCAATTTGGGTTCTGGAGTCTACCCTAGTGGCTCCATGGAAGTACTTCTTGAACCAAGGACCATGGCCTGGTTCGGTTTGACCTCATGTCAATCAAAGCAACTTGCTCTTTACTTGTTTATGTATTGGGCTTCCTCTTAAGAATTTTGGTTGTAAAACCACTGATCTAGTCCAATGCTCCCATTATACAGAGAGGGAAACTAAGACCCAGAGAGAGATAAGCTTAAGTGACTCACCTGATATTGCACAGCTGGTCATGACAGCTAAAATTAGACCTCAGGCTTCCTGACTCTCAATCCAATTATGTTTCCATGACAACAGGCTATAATTCTAATCTGAGCTCTACCACAGAGTCTCCTTGTTACCTAAGTAACTTTTCACTCTTGGCCTTAGTTGCTTCTCTGAAAGGAAGACCCAATACAGGCAACACCCTATAGACATGCTAACAAGGGTACTGCATATTATAGAGGGTGGAAGATTAATCAAAGAAATGACTAAGGCTTGGCCTTGTTTTCAACCTTGCTTTGTGATATCCTACCCAGTCCTTTGCCTTCAGAGGCTGCTAGCAAGAAACCCCAAGCAGGGGTCTCCCTGAGACTTGCTTAGACTGGCAGATGAGGCACTCAGAGCTGGTACCTCACTGGTTAAAGGGGAGCAGACTGATTTTGTAACCCTGGTAGCCACATTTCTAATAGGCCTGTCTGATTCTCAGGATAGTTTGGGCACTGTTGAGCCCACCCAGGATTCCGAAGGCTCTTTCAAACTGGAGGACCCCACAGAGGTTACCTCAGGATTGAGCTTCTTTAACCCTGTCTGTGCCACTCCCAACAGCAAGGTAGGTGGGCTAAAGGTAGGCATTTTCAACTCTATTAGCATTCCTCTCTGCATTAGCTAAGACAGGGTGCAGTGGGAGAAAAGGGGGCAGAGGTACGATCAGCTTGCTGGGAAGTGGGACTTGTGCATAGGCCAGTCTTTCTTTTTCTTTTTGACAGACCGATCTTGGGGGACACCTCATACTACAGTGTGCTGAGCATTTGTAGTGGCGAGGCTGAGCTGAGCCTCTGCCCCTACCCAGGATCTAGTCATACCTGTCTCTGTCCTTTCTAGCTCCTCAAAGAGATGTGTGATGTGGAGCAGGTGCTGTTAAAGAAGACGACTCCAGCTGCCTCTTCCCTTGGCCTCCCAGAATCGAAACATGTAGCAGAATCCCAAGAAAATAAAGCTCCAGGGAAGAAAAAGAAACGAGCTCTGGCCAGCAATACCAGCTTCTTCTCTGGCTGCTCCCCTATTGAAGAAGAAGCCCACTGAAGTTGGACTTGCCATCTCTTCCCCAGTCTGGCTTGGGAGATACTTTCAGGTTGCAGCCAGAAGGAGTTTTTTTAATGACTCCTCTGGATTTCAAGGCTCTTGCTGTTGAAAAAAAAGGGACAGCCTGTTACCAAAAGGGAGGAAGTCTTTGTTGGATGTTGGCCCTCACTCTCCAGCCCCCTGGCCCCAGACTACTGCTCTCTCTTCTCCAGAAAGGTGCTAAGCCACCTGCTGAAGAGAGAACCAACTAACATTCTTGATGACTCACTGGGAATCAAATCCTCAGTACCAATCTAGCCGTTTCTTATTTGTGAGCAGGTAAGGCCTCCCCACTGATGGGGATGAGGCCAAAGCCATCTTACCTCTGGGTTGTCTCAGCTTAATGGCAGAGCCTGGCCAAGGTTGGAGGTTTGGCACCGATCCTTCATCCCACATCAGGCATGGAGGCGCTATTTGGGAGATTTCCTGCCCTGACCATCTCTGGATTTTAGGTGTTTTAACAGTGTACTCAGTTGTCTTCCATGTTGCTGAAGTAAATGAAATCTTTTAAAATGTTAATATTAAGTACATAAATAAATCTTAGTCTAGCCACTATTTGGAAAGATCCTCTGTGCTACAAGGAGAGATACCTGCGCTCCTCAGCCCCCGGGAATGCTATCAAGGAGAATGCTATCAAGGCCTCATTGCCTTGTGACAGCTAACCTGAACCCACATTTAGCTTATAGCAAAGCTTCTTGTGGGAATCTAGGGTGACCGTGGTAGCTGTTCCTAATGCCCTAGAGCCTGATTTCTTGGCATAGCACTGGTGTGGGACCACACTGCTGCCCATTCCCAGGACAGCACAGTACTGGCTGCTTGTTGTCTCCTTTGAAAAGGGAAAAGGGGGTGTTGCTTTCTCCTTACTATGCATCAGGGTTCTCCATCTCTGCTTCTAGCGAAAACGAAAACAAGGCCAGCTGTGGAATGCCAAACAGGCTGCTGACTGGCCTTGTAGCCTTTTGAGGAGCTTGCAAGCCCTGGGCTAACTATTCATGCTTTACGAATCCCAGTCCCCTCCCCCCACCCAACTAAAAGCTCCCAAAGCACCCCCTAGAACTGGGCACATGAAAGCCAGGGATCCTCTAGAATTTACCAGACCCCAAGCAAAGGAAACTGAAGGATAACCTGTCTAAAATGAAGCCTGCAGGAGGACTAGGTGACCACGCAGCCCTCTCTGGCGTCCTGCCAGCCAGCAGCCCAGCTTCTCTTTGCATTTTAATGACGGGGGAGCAAAGGAGCCTCTGCCATTGCCAGCTAGAGCCCCTGGATACAATGGGAAGACGGAGGGGGGGGCAGCTCTTGGCATAAGAGAGCTAGTCTTCCTTCTCCCTGTTCCAAATCCAGTACGTGTCGGGGGGAGGGTAAGCAAGTTTATCCCCAATGAAGACTTTTTTCCCACCAACACTGCAAGCCCCCCAGGCTTTGAGCCACTGCATTAGCCAAAAGGTAAACAGGGAAGGTCAGTCAAGCCAGTCCCCCAGCCCTCCTCTCACCCGAGCCCTGGAGCCCTGTGCGTGCGTTAGCACTAAGCTGACTATTGCACGCTAGCCAGCCTTCTCCTGCTGATGGTATGTATAGTAACAGCATCTTTCAAAATTCATCTTCCAAAAGCTTGTGACCCTCACACTACACTCTGCAAATGATTCCTGGAAAGAGACTTTAGATACCTTGGGGACAAGACAACAGAAATGACACAAGTCTCTACATCCTGAATCATCAGCTCCTGTCTGGGGTGATAGGGGGAAGGGGAGGGCTGCTAGTGTCTCTCGGGAGTCACAAGGCCCATGGAGACCCCTGGTCCAGAAACAGGGCAACCTGCTGCCCAGAGTTCAGGAAACCCTGTGTAGCTTGAAACCCTGTGTCTTCTAGATGTACCTTACAGAAATAGAAATAGGATCCCCAGAGGAAAGGGAAGCTGATGAATCAAGGCTATCCTCCCAGGGAGCTTGAGGGAAATGCTAGACTTACACACACACACACACACACACACACACACACACACACACACCCCTTCCCAGGGGGTTGACTGGGCCCCCTCTTCTCACTGCCAAGTTGCAGTTGTGTGGTCACCCCCCAACCCCACCCCCGCCGGTGCCCTCAGCCCTCGCCTCCCCGAGCCCAGACAAAGCCCCGGCAGTGACTGAGAGGGGAACAGGAGGAGGGACAGAGGGATGGGGAAGGCTGCACAAAAGAATTCCTCACCCCAAGCCCCCGGACCGGCAGCGAGTAAAGAAGCAGCTCTGCTCCCCCTCCTCCTTCCTCCCTCCCATCGTCCCACCCCGGCTGGGCACTGGCCATAGAGCAGCTGAGGGCTTTCGGAGAGAACCCGCGCAGACTCCTGTAGGTGGCAACACTGCCACCTGTTTGACCAGTGGGGCTGAGCCAAGGACTGGAAAAGGGAGGAGGCAGACAAGTCGGAGAGGAGCTGGGAAGCAGTGCAGTGCAGAGCAGAGAGCAGAGTGGAGCTGCCGCTGAGAAAAGGTGTGAGGACTTGGGAAGGCTGGGGGTTATAGCCGGGGGTGGTGGGGTGGAGACCGGCTCCCACTGGCAGGAACTGGGCTCAGGGATTGAGCAGCACCGCTGCTCAGCTCCCCTGATTGGGGTTTTCAGACTGCTCAGATCCTGGAGGGAGGTGGGACTCTGGAAGGCAGTGTCTGGGGTACAGGGGCAGAACCTTAAGGGAGGCAGGGAGTGTGGATAGAGCCCGGGGCAGTCTACTGGAAGCCAGTCCTGGGATGGGAAGAAGCAGGGATCTCCCTTTAAGATGTCTTTTTCCTGCGAGGGGTCTCAGAGAGGGGAGAGTTTTCCTTCCCCCAGCTACAATCCCTACCCCTCCACTCCCTATCCCCTAATTCTCCTTTCCCAAGGCAAGCATGGGATAAGGAGGGCAGTTTCAGGAGCAGCCACACCCTTCCTCCTTTCAGGGAGCCCACCACTGTGTACCCTCTAAGACTCCACAGCCTTAGGGGAGCCTAGATGACAAGGGGTCATGTCCCTCAGAACACACACACTTTGGGTATATCCAGGGACTCCTTTACACACTGAAACCCACTACCGACAGCCACTAGTGCACACAGACATACAAAGCTGACCCAAATCGCACACCCTCTCACGTAGAATGACAGTCACACACCCAACCTAGTTTAGGGATCAGTAAGCCAGCCAGGTCTCAGCCTGACCCAAAAGCACAAGGTCCAATGATCCCCAGCCCCAACACAACCACACCCCCCCACACACATACCTTTGACCAGTATTTGTTGTACCTTCACCCAAGCGATCTCAGAGGGTGGGGCCCCTAAAAGGGGGAAGGTGGAGACTGGTTCCTGGCTGCGGGGTGGGGGGGCAGAATGACTGGACTGGAAGGGACAAGACTGGGGCCAGAGGGCTTAGATTTTCCAGGTGTGTGCGGGCAGGAGAGTGGTTCCTTCAGAAGGCTGGGAGTGACCCAGGCAACCTATTTCCCTCAAGTCTTCCTGTTATTGGCAGTGTCCCCTGGCCCATGGGAGGTGGAGACTGAGAATCTTATAGTCGGGGTTTTGTGGTGTGTGCAATCTCTGTATCCATAGCAACTGGCCAACTAGCCGGCCTCCCTTAGCCCCAGGTCAGAACTAGAACCTCTGCTTCAGGTTACTCTTGGTTCCTGGGGTGGAAGGCTCCCTACCTTGGGGCTGCCTAAAGCTTGGCCAGATCTGCCTCAACTTGCTAAATTGAATTTGCCCCACCCTGGGGCAGTTTCTCCTGAGTCTCCACCCTGGGCAAGCACTCTATCCCCAAAGCTGGATGCATGCTGTTAAATGGGGAGGAGTTGGAGAGCTTGGGTATGCACCCTGCCTGCAAAGAGGCCCGATCTCCTGGTTGTCCCACCGACTTTCCAGGTATCCAGATTAAAGGGAAAGAAAGACCCCCGAGATTATCCCCCTTTGCTCACCTCCTCATCTAATCTGGGACTTCAGCCCTATGAACTCCGTTGCCGAGCAGCGGTCCAGGCTTCTGCTCCTCCCCCGCGCTCCTCAGATACACTGGGAGGGAGGCTGGGATCTGCCTTCTGCTAGGGTCCCTGATGGCCCAGTATCCCTTCCCCCAGGCCCTCGCCATGGCCGAGTCCCCCGGCTGCTGCTCCGTCTGGGCCCGCTGCCTCCACTGCCTGTATAGCTGCCACTGGAGGAAATGCCCCAAAGAGAGGATGCAAACCAGCAAGGTGGAGTAGGGATGGGGGGGACTGGAAGTCCGAGGCAGAGGCCGCCTGGAGGGGATAAGGAAGCCAAGTGTGCTCAGAGGCAGCTGGTGGGGGGTGGCGGCGGGGGTGGGGGGGTGGGAAGGGACTTTCTTTCCCCAGGAAGAAAACTTCTCTCTGCCTGCAGAGCAGAGCAGAGCAGAGCAGCCCTACTCCTGGCGGGAAGCCCCATGGAGCTGTCATCCGTTGGGGACTCTGAGCTGGAAGTGGGGATCGGCTGTGAGCTTCTCTCCTGCCCCTTTACAGTGCGACTGTATCTGGTTTGGCCTGCTCTTCCTCACCTTTCTCCTCTCCCTGGGCTGGCTGTACATCGGGCTCATCCTTCTCAATGACCTGCACAACTTCAATGAGTGTGTCACAGATCCCCCCCTTCCTCTGCATACATGTTAATCTATGCCCCACCTTGGGACCCCTGGGTGCTCAGTCATTCCCGGCCCTGCCCAGCTGTCCTGCTACCCAACCTCCTTAGAAAATTGCTCCACGAAGTCTCCCCAGTCCTTGGAGCCCCTGGCCCCATGAAAGGCTTCCCTCTCACTCCCTTCTAGTCCTCCTTCTGAACCCACCCACCCCAACTCCCCTCAGGCCACTATTAACACCCCTTCCCCCACTCAGACACCTCTCTCTCCCCTCCCACAGATTCCTGTTCCAACACTGGGGACACTGGATGGACTGGTCCCTGGCATTTCTGCTGGTCATCTCTCTACTTGTCACATATGCATCCCTGCTATTGGTGGGTCAGGGAGCGGCCCATCTAACCCCTACCTCAGTCCTCCCTTCCTGCTCAGCTTCAACCCCTGGCCACTGAGGGGAGGGGAGGTGAGGGGGACGGTGTCAGCCTGGGAACCCAGGAAGCCCACCTCGGTGACCCCTCTTGGCACCTCATACCTCCCACCACCCTCTGCTTCCAGCTCCTGGCCCTGCTCCTGCGGCTCTGCGGCCAGCCTCTGCATCTGCACAGTGTCCACAAGGTAAGAGTGCGGGTGGGAGTGAGCGGGAAACGGGGACCACTGGGCCCAGGGCTTGGCCAGCTATTTTGCTGAGCACCTCAATATTCTACCCATGGACTCAAGCTCAGGACCTGAAGCCCAGTAAATTTTTGTTGAGTGAAAGAAGGAACGTGGATGAGCCAGGGGAAAGAGAGAGGGGGCAGCCCAGGGACCCCCAGGCTCACAAAGAAGACCCCATTCATCTCTGGTCCCCTAGATGCTGCTGCTCCTCATCATGCTTCTTGTGGCCGCTGGCCTCGTGGGACTGGACGTCCAATGGCAGCAGGAGTGGCGTAGCTTACGTCTGTCACTGCAGGTGAGTGGCTGATCTCCAGTGCCTATGTGGGAGCCTTGGCCTGTGGCCAACCTCTGGACGTATCTTGCTCCCTGGTCCCCCACGACTGCAAGTAGCTCTGAACTCCAAAAGTCAGGTCCTAGGAGAAGGAGTGGGGCACTGGAGAGAAGAACCCTCTTCACCAACTCTTGTCCACAGGCCACAGCCCCGTTCCTTCATATTGGAGCAGTTGCTGGCATCACCCTCCTGGCCTGGCCTGTTGCTGATACCTTCTACCGTATCCATCGAAGAGGTGCCAATTCCACTCCCCAACATACCCTCCCTGGCCATCGATGCTTCTGCCTCCTGCTGCCCATTTTACTGCACCCACACTCTGCTTTCTGTCCCCAGAGCTCACCCATTGCCCTTTCTCCATAGCCTGCCCCTCATTCCCCACAGGTCCCAAGGTTCTGCTACTGCTCCTATTTTTTGGAGTTGCCCTGGCCATCTACCTGGCCCCACTGTGCATCTCCTCACCCTGTATCATGGAACCCAGAGACTTACCCCCCAAGCCTGGTCTGGTGGGACACCGAGGGGCCCCCATGGTGAGTGTTGGGTAGAATGCTGGTAGGGTGGGAAGGGTCTGCTCCTCTAGGCTGCAGCAATCAGGCCTGTGGGTTCCCAGGCTCGCACCCTTCTCTGCTACCCCCCTACCAATTCCCTTTCCCAGCTGGCCCCCGAGAACACCCTGATGTCACTGAGGAAAACAGCCGAATGTGGAGCTGCTGTGTTCGAGACTGATGTGATGGTCAGGTGAGAGACACTAGGGGACAGAGGGACACACTTGGGGAGCTTGGGAAATGATGATCAGCCCTAGAGCTCAGCCCTCTGACACCTCTTGTGCCCTCAGCTCTGACGGGATCCCCTTCCTCATGCATGATGAGCACCTGAGCAGGACCACAGATGTGGCCTCAGTGTTCCCAGCCCGAACCTCCTCCCACAGCAGCGACTTCTCCTGTGCTGAACTGAAGAAGCTCAATGCCGGGACCTGGTTCCTAGAGGTGAAGACAGCCTCACAAAAGAGGCAACCACCTGCGGGGGTGCTGAGGGGAGGGTTCATTCATTGATAAGTATTTTCTGATCCCTGTGCTGAGCAATAGGTGTAGAGGCTCTGCCCTCAAGTCACTCCCTCCGCTGAAAGAAGAGAGCTTAGCCAACAGGCTATCAGAATAGGAAACCTAGAGCGATAACAATATCCTTAGTAAACAGAGAGGAGAGAGAGCAAAGGCACTATTTGGCAGGGTGGGTGTGGAAGAGGATCAGGAGTGGTTTCACAAGAGAGAATGCCTGAGCAGCACATGAAATGAGAATGCTGTTTAAGATGGGCAAAGCAGGGATCAGCAATTCTAGTCAGATGGAAGAGCATATGTAAAGCCCAGAAGTATGAAGAAGTGTTCTCAGGAAACAAAAAGTGACTCAGTGCAACTGGGAGATACAATTTGTGGGAGCAGTGGGAGCTGAGACTGGCAAGGGGAGCAGAGGCTTGGTTTCAGAGGGCTTTGAATGCCAGAACCGCCCCCCTCCCCCCAAAAAAGAATGTCAGGCCCAGAAGTGCAGGCTTCGGTTCTGTAGGTGACGGAAAATTTCGTAAGGATACTTTATTTTCTCAGTTCCTGTGTTCCTACCTTTAAAAATAATACATGTTGGGGGGCCTGGGTGGCTCAGTCAGTTAAGCATTCAACTCTTGATCTCAGCTCAGGTCTTGATCTCAGGGTCGTGAGTTCAAGTCTCACATTGGGTTCCCCACCCAGTACACAGCCTGCTTAAAAATAAAAGTAATACTTGTTCCGCATAAAAAAAAATTAAACATTAGAGAAATAATGTAAAAATTGAAAGTCTCCCATAATCCAACTCCTCTGAGATAATCATTGCTAACAGTTGGGTACATACTCCATATGTGTATACACACATACATGTCATTTTGCACAAATAGGATCACTTCATATATTCTTTTGCAACTTGATTGTCTTTTCATTTAACTCTATATACAATGACATGCCAGAGTGATTAAGACCAAGGGTTGTCTGGGTTTGAGTCCTGGCTTCACTACCTACTAGCTATGTGAGCCTGGGCAACATTCCTTAGTCTCTCTTGCTTTACTTTCCTCGTCTGTAAAATAGGCATAATAATAGTACCTACTTTGTAGGATTTGGGGAGGATTAAATAAATCAACGCACATAAAGTACTTCTAACGCTGCCTGGCACATAGTAAATACTTTATAATAAGTATCAGATAGCTTGCTTTTTCCGTGTCAGCGGTTAGGAGGTAAGGTCATTTGTTGATTACAAGGGGAAGGGAGGAGAGTGGCAGAGGTTTGGAAGAGCCACTAGGAATGGAAGAAGGAGCAAAACAAGAACAAGTGAAAGGATGATTAAGTGGGGCACCTGGCTGGCTCAGTCCGTAGAGCATGTGACTCTTGATCTCAAGGTTGTGCTTTCAAGCCCTGCGTTGGGTATAGAGCTTACTTTATACACACCTACAAAACAAAACAATGGATGATTAAGTGGCAATGAAGGTAAAAGACTATATAGTCCACATGATGTGCTCTGCCCCCAATTCTAGGGGTGGAGGAGGCAGACTGCTACACAATTGAATCAGGGTTTAGGATTTGTGGGGCGGGCAGGGCAGGAAAGGAGTTGAAGGTGGTATGGAAAAGTAATGCGAGCTGTAGATGGACCATGGGTAGGGGATGTAGATGTGGCAGACAGGGGCTGATGGATTGGGCAGAAACCAAAGGGCCAAGGTCCCAGAGGTCTCTGTGAGACCAAAGAGAAAATGTGAGGAAGTTAGGAAACCAGGGGGGTAGGAGGTTAGGGTCACAGAGTAAGGTGTTAGAGGGTCTGGAAAGGGTCACAGTTTGGAGAAAGAAAGACTGTGGCTCAGGGGTGCACACAAGCCTGGCGCCAAGTGGGGGAAACGAGTGAAGATCGTGAGGATGGGGGAATGGCCTAAAGGCTTCTTCTGGTCTTGAAATAATTTTCCTGTTCTCATAGAGGCAACCCTTCTGGGGGGCCAAACGGCTGTCTGACCCTGATCGGAAGGAGGCTGAGAACCAGACAGTCCCAACATTGGAAGAGCTGCTGAAGGAAGCTGCAGTCCTTAACCTTTCTATCATGTTTGACTTGCGCCGCCCCCCACGAAATCACACATACCATGACACATTTGTGAACCAGACACTGGAGACTGTGCTGAGTGCAAGGGTGCCCCAAGCCATGGTGATATGTCCAGGACCCCAAGTGCCCCCTCTTGCCCATCTCCCCACCCCTGCCTTCCCTAGGCCACGGTGATAATTTCGAGGCTGCCCCCTGCCCCAGGGCCCCACCTCAACTCATATACCCCATTCTGTTATCAAACCTCTCTGCCCCTGGCCCTGCCCCTGGAATCCCCAAGCCTTCCCCAGGTTCATGCCCATCTTCCCTGAACCACAGGTCCTTTGGCTACCGGATGAAGATCGGGCTAAGGTCCAACAACGGGCACCTAGAATGCGCCAGATATATGGACAGCAGGGAAGCAACAGAACTGAGAGGCCCCAGTTTCTCAACCTCCCCTATCAAGACCTGCCACTGTTGGATATCAAGTGAGTGCCAGAGGAAAGGAGCCAAGGGGACCCCGTGAAGCTTAATGGTAGGGAAGAGCCACCTCAGGGAGGGCAAAGGCCATTCATTCATTCACACATACAACAAATATTTATCAATATATTTAACACTTGCTATGTGAAAGGCACTATTGTTGCAGGCTTTGAGCATACTAGTGAAAGAGATAATAAACTGAACGAATTATATGCATACTGGATAAGTGATATGAAGATAATAAAATGGGGAGATATAGTAGAGCAATTAGGGTTGGGAGTGAGGGCCAGAGAGGGGCCACATCCGGAAAAATAGCTAAAGGGGTGATGTCTGGGTTGAGACCTGACAGGTCACAAGGAGCTAATGAGGAGAAGAGCTGTGAGAAGAGCAGAAACAGCAGCCCCATAAGCAAGGGAAAGGTGAGGCTGGGGAGATAGGCAGGAGCCCAATTGGGTAGGACCTTGTGGGCCACAAGAACAGTTTTAGCTTTCATTCTCCACCAAAGAAGTAAGTGCAAGGGAGGATGGATCGAGAGGAGAGAAGCAAGAGAGTCCCAGAAGTGAGCCAGGCCCCAGAAGCTGACCCAGCCCATAAACATGATGAACTGCAAAGCATGCAGTTGCCAAGGTCTCTTCTCATGTCCTTGTGGTCAGATAGAAAAAAAAGTGCACTGTATGGTAGCCCAGTTAGCGTAAGTATTTCAAGGACCTTTCCCCAAGTTGTCACCATGGAGGGAGACACGACATGGGGTTTGGCCCTCACTTTAGACTTGTCCTGGTCAACCTCAACCGCTGAGCAGGTTTTCAAAAGACATGAATTAGTAATGAATACAGTGGTAATGAAATCGAGGCCCCGAAAGGTCTAAGCACTCTAAGATGATGGACCAAATATACCGGGATAAAGCACAACAGGGATAGATGTAAACACCTACCTACATTTGCACTCCAAAAGAAGTTCAATTGCACAACGACAAGAGAGGAGACTGGCATCAGCATGAACATGTGTGAAAAACCAGAGCTTTGATTGAATAGTGTTCATAATGAGTCATCAATGGCATGTGGCATTGCCAAAACTAACCTGACCCCGGGCTGCCTTCAAACAGCCACAGTGCCCAGAAGGCAGGAGGAAGTTTTGCTGTACTCAAATCTGGGCCAAGCCCACCTGGGATATCATGTTCAGATGCAAGCCCCCATACTATGAAAGGAACACTGATAGAGGCGCCTGGGTGGCTCAGTCGGTTGAGCATCTGACTCTTGATCTTGGCTCAGGTCGTGATCTCACGGTTTGTGAGTTCAAGCTGACGGCACAGAGCCTGCTTGGAATTCTCTGGCTGTCTCTCTGTGCCCCTCCTCCACTCATGCTCTTTCTCTCTCTCTCTCTCTCGCAAAATAAATAAAATAATTTTTAAAAATTAAAAAAAGGAGGGGCACCTGGGTGGCTCAGTCAGTTGAGCATCTGACTTCAGCTCAGGTCATGATCTCACAGCTCGTGAGTTCAAGCCCTGCATCGGGCTCTGTGCTGACAGCTTGGAGCCTGGAGCCTGCTTCGGATTCTGTGTCTCCCTCTCTCTCTGTCCCTAACCCACTCACATCCTGTCTCTGTCTCTCTCAAAAATAAATACACATTAAACATTTTTTTTTTTTAAAAAGAAAGGAACATTGATCAACTGAAGTAAGATCAGATTAGGAGAGGTTTGTATGGTGAAGGGAATGATAACCCAGGTCCCAGCCCTGGATGAAGGAACTGGGGCTGTCGGGCCTAGAGAGGAGGTGACTCAGGGACATGGTCACTGTTCCTCAGACCTCTGAAGGTCTGTCATGGGACAAAGAAGAGAGACATTCGTGTAGCCCCAGATGGCAAAGCTCAGATCCGTAGGTGGAATCCGCCAGGAGACAAAGTTGAGCTATGCAAAGAAAATTACTTTTGTTCAGGGGATGCTATGTAAAAGTAGGACTGAGAGTTCCTTGGCAGTGACACTGCGGCTTCAAGCACGGACAAAGGCTGCTTCCTGTGCCTCGTGCCCCATGATACTAGATGTTCCTGTTTCTTTCCCACCCCCCCCTCCAGGGCACTACACCAGGATAATGTGTCAGTGAACCTATTTGTGGTGAACAAGCCCTGGCTCTTTTCCCTGCTCTGGTGTGCAGGGGTGGACTCGGTCACCACCAACGACTGCCAGCTGCTACAGCAAATGCGTTACCCCGTCTGGCTTATCGTAAGGGCTCTGGGGCTGTCACCCCTCCCTTTCTCCCATCCCTGGCTCTCCTTAACCCTGTTCCTCTATTCCTTACACATTTCCCTCTATATACTGCCTTTGGGACTCTGGCCACCGACAGGAGCCTTTTCCTATTCCCACAGCCCCCTCAAACCTACCTAATGATGTGGATCATTACCAATTGTGTCTCCACCCTGCTGCTTCTGTGGACCTTCCTCCTGCAAGGGTGAGTGCTTCATGCCTCAGCTTTCTGGGTCTTCATGCCCCCCAGGGTCCCGGTGATAGGGCCAATTCAGACTCCTACATGCTGCCCGGAGCTTGGGATTTGGTTCCTTTGAGATTCTTGGACCCTTCTTTGTACACCAAATTGGCCTGAACCTGGGAAAGGCAGTTTGGGGGAACCTGAGATCAAAAGGCCATGCCTGCAGCTGGCTGAACTCACAATGGGAAGCTTTTTCTCTCTATAGGAGATGTAAGAAGGAGAGAGAGAAAACTGGTAAGAACTTTCTCCCTTCACCTCATTTTTCTCCTCCTATAGCCTTCTCTTTGGTCACTCCCTATATGTCTTCCCCACCCCCTGCTCTAGGCTTAGAAACAGCAGTGCTGCTGACCAGGATCAACAATTTCATAATGGAGTGAATGCCCAGCCCCGGACCCCCACCTACCAGAGTCTGAGGCCTCTCTGGATTGGCTAACAGCAAGGAAGAGAGAGCAGCTGAGATGGAAAGTTGGTGGGGTTGGGGTGGGGTAAACTTTGTCAACAGGAGGTTTTGAACCATGAGGGCCCTCTGCACAGATGGTGGGCATGCTGCAAGCTTCCATGGAATCTGCTCCTCTTAGGGTTTTGACCTGAGGTTAGGTTAGGAAGACAGTGACTCATAGGAAGTTTCTCTGCAAATGTTAACAGAGGAAGTGGAAAGGAGGTTGCCAAGATAATGTTTCAGACCTGTGTGTGCGTGTTCTCGAGTAGAAGACACAAGGTGTGTCAGGGATGGGATAGCTTGGACCTATGACTGAAGGAGATGACAAAATGGCCTTTGCTGGAGAACTAAGATGATGGAGTCACCAATCCCCACTCCATTCACTGTCTCCCCTGACCCCTGCAATTTAGCTGCTTTCCTGCCTAGACGCTGAGGGCCGAAGAGCCCATCTAGCCATTTAATTCTGTGACTATAACTGGCTTTTTGCTGTGCACAGCCTTTTCTTCAAGACAGGTTGGTTCCTGTATGGTGTCAATCTGCTTATTCAATGAATTTAACTCCTGTTTTGTCATAGTCTAATCTTTTCCGCGCCGGGGCTTGGTGGGGGATACACATTCCATCCTCGGTTGTGATATGAATGACATTGAGGGGTCATCACGGAGAGATTCTTGGGCTGGAGGGGTTGCTGCAAGAGGGGAAGCGGGAGAGCAGCCGTCACAGGGGATATTCTGGGTGGCCAAGGCACGCTGCGCAGAGTTGCGTTGTAGCTCCACCTTGTGGTCACCTGCCGCAAGAAGAGGGCCGCGTCAGTCATCACCATGACGTAAGAATGTCACCTGTTTTCCGTGCCGGTTGGGGACCTGTGTCCTTGACTCGAGACCCTGAGGGTATAGTCCGATTTCCACAAGTTCTCGCCTCCGTGGGCTGTTGCGTGCAGGGTCTGGTTCCCAGGCCCTCCTTCCCCTCGAGGAGCAGGTTCCCCAATGTGTTTGCTGCTCGCGAGTTCCTGGGCTAAAATAGTTAAGGAGACCAGTGAGGAGCTGACCTAGGATGAGGCGTCTGGTAGAAGGGGGAGGGAGGAGCTTAAGGCAAAAACAGGGACCCGAGCGGGCTCTGTGGCTGACCATTCGTCCCTCCCACCGCACCAAGTCACCCCAGTTCGCGTCCCCACACGAAGGGAAATCGAATTAAGACGCTGGCGAGGTCAGGAGGTTCGCTCCTCACAATTCCTTTTTTCTCGCCAGACTGGGACCTGGGGCAGCACTAGCGCCTCGGGACAAAACCCTACTGGACTGCAAGGCAGCCCAGGGAACTACAATTCCCAAGGTGCCCCTGACAGCTTCCGGTCGCGGAATTGACGGAAGCGCGTTTGAATTTGTGTTCCCGCCCCCTCCTCCTCCCGGACCCCGCCCCTTCCCCTCTCGCCGCCCCGCCCCCGCCATGCACACACATGCACGTACACACACAGGCAGCCATCCAAGCCGACAAACCTGGCCTGCAGCTGGCGCGGTGGGCGGGGGCGTCAGCGCGCGACCGGCGGGAAGGAGGTAGGCGCATCGGGAACCAACGCCGCGGCAGCTGCCCGGTCCCAATCTCCTTGGGCGTCCACGCCGCCTTGTAGAGGGCGGGTCTCCTTCACACACTACCCTTTGAAACTGCATTTTCTTAGTTTTCCCTGTTCCCGATCCGCCCCTCAATCTGACTGACTGCCGGCCTCAGCTCCGGGGCTCCTAGCCTGTCCGATACTGCAGGGCTCTCACCTCTCAGCGTGTACCTCCACCCCGCACCCCTACTTTTCTGTCCCCTCCGGGGCGCCCAGCCTCACAGCCCTGCAGCTTCTTCCTCCCCTCCCCTTACGACCTAATCCTGACAACCTCCAGGCTCTCCAACCCCCGCGGCCTCAGCCTCTAAGCTCCCAGGCTCTCAGCTGCAGTCTTGTAACCTCAGAGTCCAGGCTCCTGGCCAGAATGCCAGGTCCTAGTCCCAGACCCTAAACCCTTACGCCTAGCCCCTAGCCTTGAGTTCCTGGCCCTGAGCCTGCTGCCGCTTACCCTTACTGTCTTCCTAGAAGGACAGGACAGCAGTGGCACACTTAACTTCTATGAGGCCCTGGACTGGAGACTGGGACTGACAAAAACTTGAGGGTGGAGGGCCTCACGGAGCTGCTTATTGGGGTTGAGGTGCAGTTGCTCTCCGTTATTTTTAGGTATTGAGTCACAGCTCCTGGCATCAGGGTTTGGGGCTAGCAGGCTGGACTAGGGGGCTATTAATAGAGCTGAGGCACAGCTCCGACCCAGTTCAGTTCGGAAGCACAGAGAACAAGGAGCCTCCCTCTGTCACTACGCCCCGTGGAGATGTTGTGGATTGAGGCAGTAGCTGGACCAGTACCTCTCTGGCTACCAGTACCTCAGCCTGATATCTCTACCTTGGAACTCTCAAGGGAAGGCCCACAGTGATACTTCTGAGCACAGCTCTCCCCTAAGTGTGCCATGGCTTGGAGTCCTGCCACAACAAAGCTCCTGTTGTACTAGCTGAGTGAGGAGATGTGTCCCAAGTAGAGCAGTTATTGTGGCTACAGCCTTGGCCTGCCTGGACCTACTCTTGGGCTGAAATACTAGGTTGTGTGGGAAAAAAGCTGTAGAAGAAAAACTGTGGATTTCTGGTCCCCAAAGGCCCTCATAGAGATGGGGTGCTTCAGGATGGTCCTAAGAGAGGGGGCATGGAGCCGAGAATTTGCTAGCCCCAAACCAGACACAGCACTAGGAAGCTGCTGAATTCTGTTTATCACCTGCTGATTCTTTTTCTTTCCCTCTTGTTGGGCTCTGTCCCTGCTCACAGGAGTCAACAGACCTCAGGATCTCTCCCAACTCCATAGAGGAACCTAATTCAGGAAAGCCACTGAGAAACTTGGCTCCACCAAGAAATGAATGATCCTTTATATACATTGTCATTTCTATGGAGAGGTGTTTGTTTAATTTTTTTAAATACTTATTTATTTTTGAGAGAGAGACAGAGTGGGGGGGAGGGGGGAGAGAGAGAGGGAGACACAGAATCTGAAGGAGGCTCCAGGCTCCAAGCTGTCCACACAGAGCCCGACGTGGGGCTTGAACCCATGAACTGTGAGATCGTGACCTGAGCCGAAATCGGTCGCTTAACTGACTGAGCCACCCAGGCGCTCCTCTATGGAGAGTTTTTATTTCAGTGGGCTAAAGTAAGAATTCCTTAATCCACATATTGAGAATGGTGGGGAAATCTTGATACTTTATTGGACTAATCACCAAAATTATTCCCACCCACACCCAATGTGCTAGAATTCCCATTCACCGAGGATGCACACCTACAGCAATGCACCCTACTCGCAAACCAGAAACTTCTGCCTTCAAGCGACCCAGATCTCCAGCTCCCAAGTGAAACCAGAGGGCTTTTGGACAAAGCTGATTGTTTTTCCACACACAAAATCTGTCTAAATTGTACACAGCTCTGCCTTCAAGAATGAGCCTAGATCATCAGCAGCGGGCCCCCCTGCCCCAACTGGGTCAATTTGCTGAGGACCCCAGTGAGACGGTGGATGAGATGAGAAGTGGTCTCTCTCTTCCTCCTAAAATCCCTTGCCTATTCCTTGGTGGCTTCAGCCTCTGCACAGGCCACCTGGTTGCCTAGCAACCGCAGCCGCCTGCAGGGGCGTGGGGCTGCTTTCGACCTGTAGGGGGCGCCTGTCCCCCTGGGGCCTCAGGCTGGAGCTCTAGCAGTTGTGAGGGTGTGCCAAGTGTCAAAGCATCTCAGGGCTGTCGGGTCCTCCCAGCCTCGCCAACCCAAGTCCAGTTGGAGTCTCTCTGGAGTGAGTGGAGGAGAAGCTCACTATGATTCTAAAGGGATTTTACTCATATTCATTAAAAATGAAAAGATGAAAGAGAGAGGGAGGGAGGGGGAGAGAAAGCGAGGGAGAGAGAGTGAGCAAAAGCAAGCAAGAGCGAGCGAGAGCGAGCGAGAGACCGAAAAAGAGAGGGCGCGATCGAGAGCAAGAGAGAGAGCACGAGTGAGTGAGAGAAAGAGAACCAGTCAGTACGGATGGGACATTGGGAGAGCAGTTTGACACTCTCCATTCTCTCCAGGCTTAACAATGCTTATTCCTCAATCAGAGCAATTCAGAGGGCCCAGGCTATAGGAGGCTTTTTTTCCTGAGCCACTTATAGGATGTGGAAAAAAGAGTCTAGCACTCTATATTGTCAAACTGCTGAGCATATATAAAAGCTTCAAGCTCCTGGGCTACCAGCCTAGCCTAGACTTGGTCATAACCGTTGTGTACCAGGGAATGTGCTAAGTGTTTTACATTTAATCCTCCACCCCCCCCCAAAAAAACCCTGTGGGTGTTTCGATTTCTCTAACTTTGAGCACCTCAGTGACAGGGTCTGTTGACCAGTCATCACCATCTGGATGTCTAATAGACATCTCAAATTCAACATGTCGAAATCTGGCACCTGATCTTTCCCCCCAAAATGACCATTCCTAAAGCTGTCCCCATCTCAGTCAATGGCAGTTTCACCTTTCCAGTGGCTCTGGCCAAAAGACCTTGGAACCACACCTCCTATCCATTCTGTCAGCAAATCCTAGTGACCATCTCCTCAAAATACAGGTTCCCGTGAAATCTTTAATAAGCTGAAATGGCAAAAAAAAAAAAAAAAAAGCAATTACCATTAATGTAGCATATGTGCTGCCAAAGCAAGCACAATTACCATTAATGTATATGGAAAAATTGGGGGGCATTCCCAGACCCAAAACATAACCTCTCTTAGGCTTTTCTGATACCTTAGGGCACATCTCGCTAATGAATGCACAAGATAAATGGACAAAAGAAAAAAAAAACGTAAAGCACAGATGCGCGCACACTTCAAAGCTATGGCGGCTTGATGCTGAGATGCTGAGTGGAGTTCTCCAGGAAGGAGCCTAGCCAGGCTGCTCTTGCTGCTGCCTCTATAACTGCTCGCTGCACAACAAATGCTGAGTGCCATTGTCACTTTTTTTTTTTTAACAAGCAAAAATCCTCTTTGGATTTCTTTCAGTTAGCAAAAACAGGTACCATTGCAGGTCTTTCATAAAAGCAAAGTGGTGTGATGCAAACTTTTGAAAAGTGGGGGGTATCTGTGCATCCAGAATCCAACACTTACAGTGCTACCACCCTTGTCCAAACCACCATCATCTCTCCCCTGAATCACTGCAGAAGCCTCCTGACTGGTCTCACTGCTTCCATCCTTGCCCTCTGTGGCCTATTCTCCACACAGAAGCCAGAGTGATCTTGCTCAACCAAGTCAGATCTTGTCAGTCTCTGCACAAAACCCTCCAATGGCTCCCCATGTCTCTCAGGGTAAAGCCAAAAATACTTTTTTTTTAAAATTTTTCCAGAGAGAGGGCGCAAGTGAGCAAGGGGCAGAGAGAGAGAAAGAGAGAGAGAGAGAGAGAGAGAGAGAGAGAGAGAGAGAGAGAGAGAATCCCACACAGGCTCCACACTGACAGCGGGACTCAAGCTCTACCCGCATGTGGGGCTTGAACTCATGAAGCATGAGATCATG